CCCGTGGGTTGGGCCATGCTAGCATGCGGGCTGCGAGCGACATAGTTTGCTCGGTCGTGCCGTGTTGGCCTGGCTCGCAGACCTAAAAACCCAAGCCCAACACGGACCACATGATTGTGCCAGGCTTGGCATGGCCCGAATCCATTTATGTCGGGTTGTGCTGGGCCTGGCATAACCCATGGCCCGGCCCGATTTACACCTCTATTATGGATTCGAAATATCAATGACCCATAAAATCCGAAAAAAAAAAGAATTTGAAGTCCCGTGCGCGCCTTCATACCCATAAAAAACCGAAAAAAGAAAATTTGAAATCCCGCGCCAAAAACCGAATAAAAAAAATTTGAAGTCCCGTGCGCGCGTTTTGAGGTCTCATTCGCCCTAATCGGAAAAATTCGAAGGGAGGCTTCTCTTCTTCCCATTCGAACGAAGACGCGCAGCGGCTGATCAGAGCGGCAGAAATAACCTCCCTCCGGCTTCTCCTCTTCTCTCCGATCTCCGTCTCTCTTCCTCCTCCTTCTTCTTCCCCCATTCCCTCTCTTTTTCTCACACTCAACGCCGTTCTTGACCGCGCCTAGGAGTCTCTCCCGCCGCTGCAACCAGCGGCGAGTTTAAACCCCATCGGCGACAACTGAATCTCTCGTTTCTTCGTACCTCCCTTCCATTTCAATTGTTGACCCCTTAACCTCCCGCTTCTCGTCATCGCCAAAATCCCACCGTATCCCCTGTTTTCTATCTCTTCTATCAGCCAAATAGATCCATCACAACAGCGGTGTGGATACGCATCGTCATCTATCTCCAAAATCTGAACGTGGGAACCAACAGCTGAGTTTCTCCATCACCATGAAGTAGGTTAGAAGTGGTAGACTCCCGATCCCCAATTCCGTTTTCCTAGCCGCTGGAATAGATCTACAGTCATAGCGGCAATTCAGACGTTCCCTCTCCATTTCGATCAAGTTCTCCCATTCAAATAGTGTGTTGCTTCCCGATAGCCATTGTCATTCAAAGAATAGAGACATGTGTCAGTTCTGGAATGCCGCATCATCGTTCGGTTTCAGTTCAAAATCCCGAATCAGGTAAGCTCTAGCCTTGATAATTTCTTTGTTATTTTTGTTAAGACTATTTCTCTTACAGTCATGTAAACTCTCGACGTCAACCCAGCTCGGCTTTTTTTTTCTTCTTCTGCAATTCCCATAGATGTAGCCAGGATCTGTTAATGTATAAAATTTGAACCAGCTACCCCGTCGGTTCTGATTTTGACTTCGTTAGTCTTTATTGCTCATTGCCTCCAAAAAGTTTCTTGATTTTGGATTGAGCTGATAACTGTTTTTAGCGTATTTGGAATGCATCAAGTTATGTTATTTTTAGTAGTGGATGTCTTTGATGTTGGAGAGAAGAGAGACTACAAATCCGCATCTCCAGCTAGTGAATTTTCCTAGTGTTTGAAAAAAAAATACAAAAAATAAATAAAATGATAATGAATAAAGGTTGCATTAGTAAGACAAATAAAAAATGAAAGAGATGAAAGACGGAAGGGAGGAGTGATAACCGAGAGGGAAATAAAATTGGTGCTTCTACGAATCAGACGAATCAGAGGGAAGGGATGAGTTGCCCATTCAGGATATTGAAAAGAATTTATCTTGCATTTTGTCATTGTATATTGCAATTTGTTACTTAGCTTCATCAAAGTAATCAATGTTCTAATTTTATTTTTGGTTTTTCTTTGTAGGTTAAACATGCAATGAGCGACTCTTAAAGCGTGGTTGAAGACAATGGATAATTCTTTTATATTTAAAATTTCTCTTTTTTTAAGGTCATGTAGACTTCAATGCGTATTAAGAGAAATTTGACATTTGTAATACATTTTAAACAATGATGTATTCAAATTATAAATGGCATGTAATTTTTTATTACAATAATATAACCATTTGCTAGAAATTATATAATTTCTATGTGATGTATGAATGAAACATGTATTGCTTTAAAGTGGTGGTTCCAATTGTTATTATTTTTACTACTTTAATTGGAATATAGTCACTATTTTTCAAAAAAAATCTGTAGTTATAGATTAAAGCAATTAGCTACGGTTTTGAAAGAAGTTGTGGTTATAGATTTCAATTTTCAGCCATGGTTTGCTAAAAGCTGTAGCTATAGATTAAAGCAATTAGCTACAGTTTTGTAAGAAACCATGGTTATAGAATGCATCTTTCAACTACGGTTTGTCAAAAAAGATGTAGTTATAGGTTAAGTATTTAGCTTCAGTTTTGGTAAAAAAACTGTGGTTATAAGTTGGTATATTTACCTATGATTTGTAATAAACCATAGCTATAAAAGAAAAGCTTTAGCTACGGTTTTCTAAAAAATTGTGGTTATAGATTTGAATATATAGTTATGGACAATTTAAAATCTGTAGCTATATGCATTTTTTAGCTACGGTTTAGCTTATGGCTAAAGGATCATATGGTTTGCATATGCCCTTTACCTACGGACAGATATTGTAGCTATAGATGGGTTATAACCACGGATTAATTGAATCGTAGTCGTAAGCTATAGCCACGTGAACATAGGCTATGGCTTCTTGTTCGTAGCTAAATCATAGCTACAGGTCTATAGTTATGATTTTTTTGGCCTTTAGCCATGGTTTTGTCTGTAGCTAAAGGTCATATTTCTTGTAATGAGATTTTTGACTTTTTCAATGGGAAAATATGTTCAAAGAATTCTGCATCTCAAGAGTCAATATTTGTGTTGTATTTTACAATATTTTCAATTGTTTTAATATAAGGAATTTGTAAACCACATTGTTTTGTGCATATCCAATAAATACACGACCACAAGTTTTGGGGTCCTAGTTTCTTTATTTTAGGTTTAGGTATTTCAATTTTTATTAAACAACCCAAACTTTTAAATAGTTTAGGTTAATTCCTATTATGCCAAAGTTCAAATAGTATCTGTCATTTTTTCTTATGAAGTATTTTGTTGTATAAATAATAAGTTGTTAGGATTGCTTCTCCTCACAAGTTCAGCGGTACACCTAAACTAATTAACATGGCATTCATCATTTCTTTTAAAGTTTTATTAAGTCTTTATACAACTCAATTTGATTTGGATTGATAAGGGATTGTAGTTTCATGTATAATTCCATTTTCTTCAATGAATTTCTTGATTATTTTTCCATCATATTTAGTTCCTCTATTAGTTTTAAGTCTCTTAATTTTATTTCCTAATTGATTTTCTACTTCAATTTTATAGATTATAAAAGCTCGTTTAACCTTATCTTTTGATCTAAGTAAAAGAACTTTTGCATACCTAGAGAAGTCATTTATGAATGTTAATAATATCTTTTTTCTTCTCTAGTTTCATAAAATTTAAGATCCTCTAAATCACTATGTATAAGTTGCAGCAATTCATATTCTTTTATTTCACTTCTATGTGACTTTTTAGTGAATTTTGCTTGTATACATATTTGACATTTTTCACTTGTAAAATCAATAAGAACATTCAAGACTCCTAATTTACATAACTATTTTATGTAAGGAACACTAAGATGTCTTAATCTAGCATGCCAAACATCAAAAGACTCAATCATATAAGCAAAAGAAAAAAGTAAGAAAGAGGTCTTCAAGTAGGAGAAAAGCATTATATAACATAGGACAAGAGGAGATCAAATTCTTGAAATTTTGAATCTCCCTCCAACAATCTATTTCATCAAAAGAATTTTTCTTTTGGCCAAAAAATGACCACCGGGACCCATGATTGATTACTTTTCATCAAAATTTGTATGTCGGCCCCGCTAATCAAACACTGAGCAAGCAATTTTTTTTTTTTTTGGTATTTATTGGCATTGAACAAGACCGCTGGACAAAAACTACTGGCTAAACTGAAATTTTTTATAGTGATTTAAGTAGTTACCTAAACATACAGGATATATATAGTAATTATCCCTGTACTTTAATACCATCGGCCATGAATATTGTCCATGATTTAGTCTAGATACATGTCAAATTTGATGTGGCTCTTGCTAGGCACTATGTCATGGCCGACTAACATACATGAAACTATAAATTAATCCATGAGAATCATGTAAGGAAATTATAGTTGTAAAGTATTTTATAGTATATTTTTCAAAACGAAAATATTTTATAATTTGTGCATGTCTCTAGCGTGTGTTCCTTTTTCCTGAAATATTATTAAATTACAGGAAAAATGATATTCTAAAAATATTTTTTATTTACAATAATCGATTCTATACCAACCAATATGGTGGCTCTGATAGTAAGTTTTATTGGTTGTAGCTAAGACTTGGGACCAAATCTCGCTGTCACTAGGGTGGGGAAGGGGTTATGTACGTGGTCCATGCAAAAAATAAAAATCCTATATTAAAATATCAAACATTCATACCTCAAAAGAAAACACTGACAAACTTTAATTCTATTTATATGTGTATCAGACACAACACAACAGAAAAACAAAAAAAAAATTACTGTGACACTGTAACTTTCTTTATTACGGTATGAAACAAAAAATGTAGGCCTTGTTTGGCGTAGAGGGTGTACAGGGAACGTAGATACAAATTGTCTCTTTGGCCTTTGGGTGTCTCAGCTCTCATTCATCCATCCTTGTTCAGGAAAAAGGACTGGGGATGGGATGAAGGAATCATATATTTTCTAGTTTTGCAGGAGGATTCGTATTAACTCGTGATGCTGTTCGACTTGCAGCTTTTGGTTGTCTTGAGAGATTTAGGGTTTTCATATAGACTGATTTCGTTTTCATATTACAGTCAAGTCAACCCAATATATATCTAGAAACTGATACAAGCTCATGCCAAATATTTCCTTGGGACTTGGGATCCAACTGATCTCACTCTGTGAAATTACCCAGGAGGTACTTCATTCGCAAATTTCCTCTTAAATCATCCGTATTTGAACCACTGGAGGTGACCTTCTCTCTCTCTCTCTCTCATAATCAAAAGTTCCAAACTAAACTTCTGAAACTGTGTTCTAGAAATGCTACCCATAGCTCATAGCCATCACAGTGATGGAGAGAAGAGTATGCTGGTCCCAGCAGCTGAAACTTCTGAGGATCCATGGTTACCATTTGAAGATGATATGTTTACCGGCCAGGTGGGCTCGAGTTCGTTCCTGCATCAAGAAGATCTAATCATGGTGCAACCATCTCTGGATGAAGGATTGGTTGCAGGTAGCAACAATCAGAATAATAAAGAGAGAGCTGGTAGGATGAGGAGCTTTCAAACTGGAAAGTCATCAGTGGTGCAACCTGGTGCGGATGAGGAGTCGATCATAAAGAAACTCGACCATAATGCAAAGGAGAAGCTACGCAGGGTGAATCTCAATGCCTCCTATTTGGCTCTTCGTACATTGTTACCAGATTCTAGTAGATCAAAGGTTGTCTCGTCATCACTCTTTCTCTCTCAACGCTCATTATGTTGCATTAATATATCGGATTTTGGCTAGATTAGCTGATCCTTGAAGCACCAGCCTATCTGCTCTATGTTGTTTCTAGCTTTCAGGTTTCCTTTTGGATCCAGAAAACAACCCTTACAGATTATTCCATCTGATGCAACTCAATGTTTCACAACCAACTGGATATTTCCAGGTGACCCAATCAGTTATATAGTAAAGAATGTGGAAGACCCAACCTTCAGAGCTCTGGAAGAACTTACCAGCAACCAGTGCAACTGGGTTTGTTGTTGTCAACGCCATCAAGTATTGATTTTCTTTTTTTTCCTTCCTTCCTACCCAACTAAATTTGATCAACCCATTTCTTCCCAAGATTTGGAGGAATGAAGTCTCCATGCCCATCATGTATTGCTGGTATTTAAAACCGGGCATTAATCCTTTTGGTTCATTTCATTCGGTGTAAGAAGATGTTGCAGAAGAAATGTTCGCTATATAATTTATTTGTTTATCATCTTGCAGAAGAAATGGAGCGCTCCTGTTATACTTGGCAAAGTTGTAGAATACATTCCGGAGTTGAAGGCTGAGATTAAGAATCTTACACGGAGCAAGGAACAAATTCTATCCACCGTAGAAAAGAAGCAAATGCCCACCCATGATTCACCTTCGGAATCCAAAATTCCCACAGTTTCAATAACTGAAGTTAGAAAAGGGGAACTGATCGTGCAAATATGCATGAAGAGAGAAAATTCCAGTGTTCTCTCCACTCTACTAGCTAATGCTGAAGGTGAAGGAATGCAAATTGTCAGCACTTCGTCTCTTTCAGTCCCTGATGACAGAGATTGCTACCATCTACATCTTCATGTAACTTTCTCATCTTTTATCTTGACTTTCTCTTTTCTACTCAATTCCCACTTACCCAACCACTAGTCCCACCAGTAGCAGCAGAACAAGTAGTAATAGAAGCTATTAGTCTATGATCAATAAAATCAAACTGGAACAAGAACGAAAATTGATGAAAAGCTGGGGATATCTGGTATTGCATGCCAAGCTATCTGCAGCCCGGTCTAGCTATATCAGTGATGAAGAGATAAATAAATTAAGCATTCACCCAATAAATTGGCTAACTCCAACACAAAATCCACTGGGTTCCCCGTGTTCAATCCGGTATAATATGCAGATTAGTTCCCCATATTGATAACCAATTAAACCTCCCAGAGCAACTGCTCTTAGAGTTGCTCTTAGTTTCTCTGTTCCTACCAATGTGAGTCGGATCTTATATATACTTATTTCTGATCTCCATTGACCAGGTGAATGGAAGTTCGCCAATAGCCGACTATATTGCAGTGTTAAGGGCCAAGCTACTTTCTTGGTTGTGCGGGATCTCATCTATTTTGGATGACAGATACGTGTAAATTGAAAATCCGTGAAGGATGATGGAAATGCTATCTTCCAGTAGAAAAGTATGTGTTTAACCTTATCTTTTGTTCTTTTGGGTATATTAATTGCTCCAATTATATGTCCATGTCTCCGAAGAGACATCTCAATTAATAGTAGCAGAAGGAATGCGGACTGTACATGGTTCGAGGATTGCCTCCATGCACTGAGAATCTGAGATTAGCAAAATTCCACCCTGAAGAAGTAAAGTCAAATTACTATTTTCTCAACTTTTTATTTGATTTCAGTTATTCTTTTATCTTCATAAAATGACTTGGGGATTTCATGGTGAGAAAATTGCGGGTTCATGTGAGACTAATCTATATATACTATTAATAAAAGAGTGAATAACCCCATTTTCTGGATTTTTCATTAGACATTTTTACCCCTTATCTAAGCAACATACAACGGGCATAAAAAATGGCGTATATGTCTTTTACTCTCACTCCAAAAACTGCTCACTTCCCACTAACTAACTGTTCAAAAACTGCCCACTTATAACTGTTCAAAAACTACCCATGAATTGTAAATAGTTGTCTTGGAGATACTGTCACGTGCAAATGCACGTACATGTTTACTAATTCTGATAAATGTCTACAACTCCAGCTCGGGTGATATTATTGCATCAACTTACAACACAACTAGAGGTGTCAATTGGACTACATTTGGTCCAACCCGATCTAGTCCAATGTGAGTCCACTTACAAATGGACTAGACCCAATCCAATCCAAATCTAATACAAACCAAATCCAATCCATTAAAATGTAAATGGATTGAATTGGATCCAATCCAAACCGAATGAAATATCAAGAATTATATATAAAAAAAACATAACATATAAATTTTACAAAAAATATATTAAAATGAAGAAATCTGAAAATTACAAAAATATACCCTTTTGACATTGAAAAAGCACTTTTGTAAAAGGGCTTTCATAAAAGTACTTTGACAAAAATACTTTCATAAAAGTACTTTAACGAAAGTACTTTTATAAAAGTGCTTTCATAAAAGTACTTTCGCATAAGTTCTTTTATAAAACTGCTTCTGTAAAAGTGATTTCATAAAGCACTTTTGTGAAAGTTGTTTTGTAAAAGTACTTTTCATAAAATTACTTTTATAAAAGTGATTTCATAGAAGTACTTTCATAAAAGTGATTTTATGCTGGTTTCTGTTTTGATCGGTTTCAAGTTGGACAAGGGTTTTGGCCTCATGATCGGATTATTGAAAATTTGGTTTAGGTCCAATTCATACCAATAAGAATATGAATCAATTTATTTTGAATTGGCCCAATCCAATAATTATATAAACCGTCCAAATCCGATTTGATAAGGTTTGAATCGGATTAAGTCCAACTCAAAACCAGCCGATTGACACCCCTAAATGCAACAACCAATCTCTAGTACTTGCCTAGGCACAATGCCTTCGTGCTCAATGTCTCTTGGATTTTGAATGAAGTTCCAACTAGCTAGCGAGTACATAGTTTTCTTCTTAAAAGGTAAACTATCCAGGCTGTTTTGGCAGACCCATGTCGAGATAATAAAATAAAGGGGAGAGGTGAAGCTTCACACAGAGGACTTTCATGTGGGTCTAGGTCCTCCATAACTTGGCTTCTGTTTTAACTTTGACATAAACTTTTGTCAATTATCCAATTAAGGAGAGTCAAACCATGTGGATTGTAGGCTTCTGGCATGTGTATGCAAGTCAGGCCCACCAGCAGGTTGGGGGGACACGAATCTAACTTTCCATGAGCTATTCAAGCTCGACTCATGATCTCAATTTGTCATGATCTAAACTGAGGTTCAAACCAAGTTCGAGCCTAGTTTATAGGTTCGTTTAGTTGAACTAAGTTCAAGCCCAATAAAGCTTGACTTTTGAGGTATATATAAAACTTTTTATATGTATAGTTTTAATTTTTATAGGAAGCTTGGCTCATAGTTGAGTCCAAAATTACAAGCTTTTGAGTCGAGCTGAATTTGAGCTCAAATCTCTAGCTGGAATCAAGATTGAGGCTCATAATTTTTTGGCGAGCTGAACTCAAATAACTAGATATTCAATTATCAGAAAGTTAGGTAATTGAAGTCACCCCTAACCCGATCCAAGTTGATGAACCCCAACCTAACCCTGTTGTATTGGGTAGGCAGTTTTGTACTTTTGTGGTTAGCCTAATCTCTTAACTTGTTTATATATATTTTCACTTCTTAGATTTAGTTTGGCCATATAAAGAGACAAATTTATGGTGCTGTGAGGTATATATAGGTCTGGAAAACATGATGAAATGGTTAATAAAACACTTAGGAGCAATCTAAAACCAATTTTGGGTGGCACTATAAATGCTCTATTTTTGCTTTCAAAATACACTATTATAGTGGTAAAACGAAGTATTTTGGAGTCACAATACTTTGTTTCGCACTGCACAACCTAAGTGCGAAATGACTCTCAAATCTCAATGGAACTTAGAATAATAACAACAATAAGCAACAAATAACCAAGAAAACTTTTCTAATGTCAATAGAAAAATGCATAGGGCATTAACCGAGAAAATCTCTACTATAACATCAATAATGGGATTACAATGTATTTTTCTTTATCAATAGCTTGGAGATACCAAAATGGTGGTTTACAACAACAAAACTAGAATAAATCTTCCCACCTCAAAGAGAGAACAAAATCTCTTGGAAATGTTTCTTGGAGATGAATTATAACTTAAGCCTTGTTGTGGATATAGCCATCATAGTAGCTTCTTGTTTTCTAAAACCCTCTGAAAACCTTAGCTTCTAGAACCTAAGAGTCACCCAATGTATGAGAATAGAGAGATGAAAAAAATGAGACTTTTTCTTAATTACCCATTTTCTTTTGTAACTTTTTGTTTCCTTTGTCTTGAGTACTTAAGTGAGTGGGCTCCACCTCATAAGGAGGGAACCCAACTATCCCCCCCTCTCAACTTATGAGGAGGGATCCGCCAAATCTGCCCTATTTCTACAAAGCAAAAGTTTCTCACTAGTCAAATCAATTAATCATATCTAACCCATTTTCATCGGTATAAACCTTTTTAAGTTGTAACAACTTCATGAATCCAATGATATCTAATATCAATATTTTGATTTTGAATGGAGGGTACTTCTCTTGCTTCACCCCAAGCTCTTATATGAATCTCTTCCCCCATAAAAATCTCCTCGCTTTAATAATGGCAATGTTCAGCTTCAATGGTGGACAAGGTAATACATTTCTGAAGTTTCAGCTATCATGAAATTGCTCCCTAAAAATGGCCAAGTAACTTGTGATTGATTTTTTTGAATCAGTTTCACCAACCATATTTGCATATGTAACTATCCAATGCAGGTTTACCGTTCCCAAAACATAAAAATACTCTACAAGTGCCCTTGATATCTATGAATCCATAATTTACTATAGCCCAATGTTCCTCTCTAGGATTTGGGAGAAAACAACTTACAACACCAACATTGTAAGCAAGATAAGGCTAGTATATATCATGCATGGAATACATCAAACTATCTATGATCAATGCATAAGCCACATTCTTCATTTTTTTTTTTTATTACTTGTAGGACAATGTTGAGATTTAATTTAAAGTAACCTCCAAGTGGAGAGATAATTGGTTTAGCCTTGCTCATGTTCTCCCATACCTTTTCAATGAGTTCAGATCTGTGCCCCACAATGTCCCACAGCACATCCCCGCCGTGTATTAGGAACATCTCCTGATGATGACATCATCATCATCAGTTCTGGTACTATCATCGGGAGATACTCCCAATACATGACGGGGATGTGCTATGGAACGTTGTGGGGCGCCCCCTTATGGGGCACATATGTGAACTTCTCAATATACCTTTCTTGAGACAACCAAGGCTTTCTAAGCTTTTTAGGCCATGTTTGATGATTAAGTGATTGTTAAAATTCTTAGAAGTACTTATTTTAACAACCACTTGGGGCTGTTTGATAACCCACTTGCCAAATCACTTATTCTGTTTTTAAGCATTTATTAGGGTGGAGATATTTGGTAAGCTATACTTTCCCCATAAGTGCTTATATTGACACAAATGACAATTTTATCCCTCACATCACAGAGAGGCAAGGCTGCATATCAACAAACCAAATCTGAGTTTGGGTCCCAGATTTCGATCCCTATAACGGTGTGAGAGGAAAATTGAGATTCCTTCAACAGTTACCATGCTTATATTGCACTAGAAAGTCTAACAGTTTTAAGCCTAAAACAGAAAATTTCATTGAAGATCAGGTTTTGGTTTCTCATCATGAGTCCTTGATGTTGAAAAGATCAGGTTTTGGTTTATCATTATGAGTCATTGATGTTGAAAAACAGTTGCATTTGTCACCAAACATAAATGCCAAAGAATAGTGGTACACTTCCAGGCCGCTATATTGGTTACAGGATTGTCATGGTTATCATCATCCATATATATCTAGGAGGCAATCCATTGAACTGAGGGCAGGAATCAGCTCTAAATCAGAGATCGGATCCAAACAACACCATCTTTGATATCGGGCGGTGAAAAAAGAGATGTTCCATTTTCTTTGTGTATCGATAAAGTATCAAGAATAATATGCGATAATAAAAACAATAATAGTTTAGGCTACATCCAAATCTCTAATGATTCTCCACATGTAGTCCTGATTATATTGTTAAAGTACCGTGAATATACACCATAAAAACAATAATAGCTTAGATTTGGGTTAGAATGGATTGCCCATAATCAAAATTAGGTTGGATTCATATTTTTCAACCCTAACCCTATCCTAACCTTCATTATATAACCAAACCTAATCTGATTTTTCATTTTTCAAGTTGAGCTTCACCTCAACCTATTATAAAATGATTGATTCTTTTATTCAAATGTATGGCCCATCTGATGGCACCAAAAGCCTGAAATATTGACACAATTGTCAAGGCCAAGACGCATTTAGGTATTAATGTGCCCAAATCCCCAAGTTTTAGCATTTT